TTCTCAATGTATCGTCCTAAAACTTGCACAGATATGAACTAAATTATTTAATATTTTTTTGCTTATTTAAAATTATATACTTAAACAAGGATGGGTTTAAAAAACAGTGAAAAGAAAAATTATTGAAAGTAAAAATGTGATTGAAATCATATTTTTAAAAATTTTTATATAAAAATGTGCTTTTTAATTTTTCTCAGAAACTAATTCATTAATTTCAAAAATCGATCCTTAAAGTTATTAAAAACACTCTAATAAATACAGTAAAAAATTTGGAGCAAAAACATTGAAAAAGTGTGGGAGAAGAAAGAATTTTTAATTGTTGAATTTTTTCTAAAAAGAATTTTAATTAAAAAAAATTACTAGGAAAAACTTTTTTCCGCTTAAAATCAGTTTGTCTTATAAAACCACTTAATATTATTCATAAAAATTAGATGAAAGTTCTTAAATAAAAAAAATCATTCAAAAGGTACCGAATACTCTTAAGGGAATGATAGCTTATGGGTCGCAATGACGCTTCTTTTAGAACTCTGTCGCAATCTGTTCTTTCTTTGTTTAGAGTCTTCCAGTTGATAATTTTAATAAAGTTAAAGATAATTTCTGTACAGTTGTAAGATTCTAGCCAAAATAAAAATGTAAGTTGTAAGATTCTAGCCAAAATAAAAATGTAAGTTGTAAGATTCTAGCGAAAATAAAAATGTAAGTTGTAAGATTCTAGCCAAAATAAAAATGTAAGTTGTAAGATTCTAGAGAAAATAAAAATGTAAGTTGTAAGATTCTAGCCAAAATAAAAATGTAAGTTGTAAGATTCTAGCCAAAATAAAAGTTATTTGGAGGCTAGATCTTTACGTGAACCGTGAAGCGACTTTCGTTAAATTGAGCTTATATCAGTCATAGAGTCATAAGCTTATTTTGGAGGAGAAGGTCTGAAAAATCGGCAATGCCCTCGCAGGTACTCGAACCTGGACTTCTCGAATATGCACTGAGTGTGCTTACCGTTACATTACGAAGGCATGCTGGAAGGCGGGAAATAATATCTTATATACTTCCCCCATTAAAGAGCGACTGGGGATTATGGGACCTAGTCGCCAAATCCTAGTGGTGACGAATTATTGTCCACCATCTTTTAGTTCGGTCACCACTGTAAAGTCATTAGGCTATTTTGAAGCGGCCGAGGCTTGAATCTGAACCTCTCTAATACGCGCCGAGTGTGCTACCGTTACAACACGAAGGCATACTGGAAGGAGGGAGAAAATACCTTATATAGTAACTTCACATAACAAGGATGAAAAGATCCTTTTATTCAACTCAAGAACATTATGAGCAGATGACACTTCCGATGCGTACAGGGCCTCGCCAATACTTTTAGCGGCAACTCAAAATAGAAAACGTAAAATTAAAGCTAATCCTAAGTTGAGTAATCAGAAGCTGCATACAGATATTTACTTACACGTGTAGTTGGCTCTTAGCTAATACCAGGAACGTAGACTAATCGGCAATTAATATTCATTTATGCTCTCTTTTAACAACAACGTACTTTATATCTTTCTATACATCATTTAGGGTATCCAAAAGTGTCGCCAGGAATTCCACCCATCTTGTATTAGCTAATAAAGCAATATGCTTTTTTAACCCCCACTGAGCTCTCTTCGCATGTACTCAATTATTTATTCAGCTGAAACTAAGGATTGCCCAATTAATTCTCAGCAGAGCATTACATCAAGGGCGGCCAGCTATTTGCGACCCCTACCCAGAAGAAAAAACGTTTACGATTTTAAAAAAAGGGTTCTACGTGTAATAAATTTTATTTCAAACAACTTTTATATATATTAAGATTTTTGGAGAGTAGTTGTTTCTCAAAAACTCATTGCAACTTCGCAGTGAATCCAACCCGCGTTTTTAGATTATCGAACAAATATGACAATTACACCACAAAAGACCATGGAAGAAATGCTTTTAATTACTTACAGACTAAGGATTCTTATTTCAGTAAAAGTCTTAGACTGCAAGAATAAGAAATAATCTTAATGGTTTTACCTTAAACATTTATCCTCGCCATCATGTACACTGCAGGCCATTAAAATTGCTACACCAAGAAGGGGATATGTAACAAACGTCATTCTCTAGATCTTGCTGGATCGTACAGCCGCGTCATGTACTCTGAATCAGGAATGTATATCGGAAGCGCCCACACGGACAGTGCGATGATGTCTCCAGCATAGAGTACTTTCAGGACGACGCAGTTTCCCTTGACGCTGCTGCAGAGACAAAGGCGTCTACCGTAGTATGACGAATGATAACCCTGGACACAGAAGTGACACCAAGCCGTTTGTTCAGATGAATCCCAGTTCTGCATCATGATGGACATTTCAGAGTGTAGAGGCACCGAGGAGAACGACCGTTGCTAGCTTGCATTCGTCATCGTCGTGTGTCCTGATATGGGTGCAATATGCTACACGTCCCCATTACCTCTTGTTCGCATAGCTGGCAATGCGTACATTCGCCGTTACATTTCTGATCTATTAAGGCCTGTGGCTGTGTCCTATCTTCGAAGCCTATGTGACATCATCTTTTAATAGCATAATGCACGGTTGCATGTTGCCTGAGCTATCCCAACATTTCCGATACAGAGGGTAAATTAAGCTTCGAGTTCCGCCGCATACTGAAGAATACTGCAAGGCCTGCTATACTTCTTTTTCATTTCCGTATTAGGCGGGAGACTAGAACAGGTTTAACGTTAAGGCAGAGTTGTTTTTGTTTACCATTTTCTGCTCCAGTCCCACAACTTTCATTCGAACCCACCAATTTGACCAGATGCGCGGGGTCATCACTACCGATTCCAGGCCTCATAGCGGGGTGCAACAATATCAGCCTGAAGATTTGACTGATCAATCGAAAGTTGTTACATGCCAGTATTACACGAGCCGGCCCACCCTGAAGGAAATACACAGCTACGGTGGACAACGGACTAGTCACTGTACCGTTACTGAAACCTCCAATCTGGGGATTTACTACTTCTCCCACAGGCCCTCGAAAACCGACAGTTGTAATCTGTAATCCTTTACGACAACATTGGGGAGCGATATAAAGAGTGTTCGACTGTTACCTTGGCCAGGACATTCTCCAGATAATTCACCCATTGAAAAAATCTGGCCTTTGGAATGCTGAAAGATTGGCACGCCACCATAGCCTGTCACTACTGTTGATGAACTCCGGTATAGAGTTGAAGTCGTATCGAATGAAACTACGTATCTGTCATCCAAGATCAGTTCGACTCGACATCTATTACAGCCGCTGTTGCTGCCAGATGTGACAGTTCAGTGCACTGAATTTTGTATACTGCGTACTCCAAATCAATATACCACATACGTACAATAAATAATGTGTGCTATTTGCTTTCTCCTGGTGTAAGCGATTTTTATGACCAGTAGTGTATTTTTTGTCAAAAATTTATTGTATCCCTAATTCAATTGATTGACTATTTTTCACATTTCAGAACAGGAACCTTCCGAATACCCAGCGTTATTTAAATTCCTTGAAATATGCAGCTATTACGTATTTGAACATTTCAAAGTTATTAGTTATAATAGGTATGTTCAATAAAGTAGAAATACTAACTTAATACATACAATAAGCATTAATTTCCAGCAGGCGAGATTTAATTATTAGTTTCTTGAAGTCGGTCACTTTTTTACTTCTTCATGAATTTTATATCAGCACATCTGGCTATCACTCGGTAACTATGGAGTTCGGATCCCTGCACGAGCACTGCTAATTTATCACGTTCCATGACTTCATAAACTCTAAAAGACTCTACAAGATTGTCCGAACTAAAAATGAGAAAGATCATAATTCGTCACCTCCAGGATTTGGCGACTAGGTCCTCTCTTCTCCAGAAGAAATAAGAAGAGTTACAGAAATCTTATTTTCTGTAACTCTTCTTATTTCTTCTTATTTTTTTACTTCTTACTCAGCACTCATCAGTGCCATATTTTCGCATATCCTGTAATTAATTTGCAAATACAAAACATAGCCCACCAGAGGCCGAACGGTAAAGTCCTTGAACATGGGTAGTTCGGTCCGAGGTTCGAATCCTGCAACGGGCTAGCTGCATGAGCGTTTTCGTGGTCTTTTAAATGAAACGAGGCAGTTTCATTTAAAAAATCCTCCACGAAGGCATCCCTCCCTTTCGTGTATTGCCTTAAGGCGAAACACGTAAATAATAATAATAATAATAATAATAATCAATACAAAACATAGGACTAACATGATAAACATATGTAAATTATTCTGTAGTATGCGAAATGCACTTTTTATCATCTTTAGGAAATCAACAATTAAAACTTAATGTACTAAATTAAAACAAAATGTATAATTTCAAACATTTCTATGCAGCAGAGAAGCAAATTAAATTTAGGGTGCTGAATTGTAGAAGTTTTGCATTCAATAATTTAATTCGAAATGATAAATTGTAAATTTTAATAGTTTTTCCTACATATAATAGTTAAATATGTAATATTAATTCTGGATTAATATTTCAGATACCATCAAGACACACAGGTTGCGAAAACGTCTGCGTTGGTGGTGTGCTGTGGTAACAAAGCATGAATTTTGATTCTGGATATTGTAATCTTTTTTTATAGCTGTTTTAATTTTTTTTTTCCATAAACGCGCAATTACGAAAAGGTAATCTTTGTAAAAATATAGCGCCAGAAAGTTATCCGACTGAAATCTAACGTTCTTCGAAGGCTATTTTAATTACGATACAAAAAATATCATCAAAATTCACATGTATTGAATAAAATGCCCTAGTTTTCAATGTTAGGTGTATGAAAAATATGACCATCGATCCCATTTTACCGAAAGAGTGTTCAGGAAGATTTACCGCTTCAATTTTTTTTTTTTTTTCTGTACGTCCTCTTCCCTCATCCCATATGAAAAAGAGTTAAAATGATCATGTTCAAACAGATGTATAGCTAGAGATATGATGTTTAAATACTAACCTCGATCATAGCTTGAAGTTGACCTTTGCTGGTCGTCCAGTCGTTCCCTTTGTCTCGAAGGTACCCCATCCCAGATATGTGGAGGAGCACTAGGGGCCTTACACCGTCCTATGAAGGCTCGGGCTTCTCTGTGGTGGGTGTATCTCTTCTGGCGACCGCCTGCGATGCGAGGTGAACGTGCTCCAAGGGTGAACCGACCCACGCGTGGAGATGTCTTGTTAACAACGCTAGCGTAGGAGTTAGATTCCTGCAAATAGAGCATTGCATCACTTTCCAAGAAAAAACATCTTTAGAGATCTAGCAAATGTTTAGGAATATGATAGTTCTCGGTTTTTCTTCGGAAATTTATGATATATCGACATTTGAGAATATTCAGGTAGTAAGGATTAGATTGTTATGGCCAATGAAACATTACTATAGCCTTATTTGGGTACTAAAAATAACAATCATAGTTAAAAGAAAAAGAAAGTATAATAGCGTATCTTTCACTATTAGCATAACATGCAAGCGTTCTATTCAATTCATTCTTATCAAATGTCTGTCAGTTTTCTTTAAGTAATATTTGAGATGTTTACTCCATGATTGACTTTATGTACAGGATAGAATCTCTATTAAATTGGCGAATATATCCAATATATGAAAATGAATTGTGCAGATAGCTGAGGAGACAGTTTATACTTGAAATTCTGAAATACGCTGAGTTGGCTTCCGTCCAAGAGTATTACATAATCCATGCAGAATTGGTTACCAAAGACAGTTTATAGCACTGTAAAGGGTATTTTAACAACTTATTGATATCCATATTTCATTGGCATTAATTTCAACTTAAAAATGCTAGATGCGTTTCAGGGAGCCATAAAGACCTGGATCTTGGTAGAACCAAGGACCTACTGATCTAATCTCGCTACAAGAAGATTCAATTACTCCAAAAAGACCTTGATTAACGTTGTTCTAGAAGGCTTTAATTCAAGATTCCATATGCTAGGGGTGTTTATCATCTCACATTAATGACAGACCTTATGAAATAAGAAAACGTAATATTAAGAAGCGGGAAAAGAATTCTGTGCCCAAGCACCTAGTCGGTCATAATTGAATTCTGTTTGGAATAAAGATCATTGCACTTACAACAATTTACTAATTTAATAATTACTTAACAAGCCTTTAATTGCGTCTTAATTAGAAACACAACTAAATTAGAACAATGCAAATAATTTTAAAATAAATAGCTTAAATTTATTATTGCCACAGCTTGGGTTTACAGTTTAGAAGAAAAAAGATTATTAGTTGCCTCTTCCATTCTGACAGTTGTCATATAAAACAGTTTACAACGTATCAGTGTTATTTTCAGAACTAAAATAAATTTATTAAACCTTGAAGGATGATTATTTGGTTAACCTATTCTATACTTTACGAAAAAATTACGTTTAAAATCAAACTTAAGCGATGCAATTTAGCTGGTATTTTAATCTGATCTAGACATCCCGCTTCGACTGGAATTATCCCGGTTTAGTAATGTGATCCTTGTGTTCTAGTCAGAATATCATTTTGTCCTGGTTATTTGGTGGAATTTTATAGGTGCCGAATATACAAGAGGTAAAAATAGTGAAGCTTAGAGTAGAATGGCGATTTGAAAATTAAAATTTTTCCTCTGTTATACTCACCGTTGCAAATCTAAATATTTTGTTGCTAGATCTAATTATCTTTGATGATGACATGAATTAGAATTAGATGACAGAAGTCGTTTTTACATTCAGCTATCAGAAAACAGGTTTGGTGGATCAGAATCTTTTATTTGGATAAGCAGCAAAGAATTAAACATAGTCTAAAATTGAAGCTTCAGGTGAAAAAATTAATGAAACTATAGCAAATAATACGATAAATATAGATAGATGTTCTGACGAAACAGTGATTGCAAAAGTTTTTTTCGTTAATTATAAAATTTGTTAATTATAAAATTGAAGATAATTATGAAATTTAATTTAATTATAACATTTTGTAAGTTAATTATAAAATTCGGAAAAATAAAAGTTATGAACAAAAATGGATAGAACTTTTCAGTCATTTAAAAGAAGTATGTATCCATTTTAATATAAAGAAATGGAAAAAATCAAAAGGTAATGGTCTTAGTTTGTTTAATAAAACAAAAATGTTGAGGTTTAACTGCATTCTTAAAATATTCCAAAAGTATTCAGATAATAATACGATTTGGTAAAACTCTTCATAGAAATGGTATTCATCTTGACATCAGTTTCGGGGAAAAGATTTGAAGAATACGGCAGACACAAGTGTGCATAAGAAAAACTATTCTTGTATTGGGTCTATGCGTAAATCCATGTCGTTCTCAATCGGGTTGGTAATATTGCATTGTAAAGCCTTCGTTTTTTGTTATTCAGTAGTTCTCTTTTCAGTCTGCAAATTGATTTTTGTGAACAAGAACTTCAGAAGTCAAACAACAAAAATCAGAGTTATATTTTCAAAATTTTCGCAGGACTAGTTTCAATGGTTTTACCGAACCACCATCCTCAGCTGCAAAACCGCAAATGAACAAGATAGGAAATAATGACTAGATAAGATAAGAAAGCCTGTACAGGAATAAGCAAGTGGCGCCATCTGTTGATGATTTGTTGTTGTTTGACTTCTGAATTAGTATTTATTCGGCGTGTTATTGTGTCTTAACAAGAGCTTGTTTGATGTTAATAGCTGATTTTGGTCATTTTCAAGGCTATTCTGAATGGAGAGTCCAGCAAGGAAAAATAAACACTTCCGACATATTTATCGGTCCTTCTAATTACCATCTTTTCCGGTCTTACTTTAACAACATTTAGAGCAGCGGATGTCAACCGTTTGACTAACACATTTCAAAAATTGCATTTGTCATATTGCCTATAGTTTTTATTATAATAATAATGGGAATATTCGTGTTATATGTAAGGAGAGAAGGTTAGCACTCCCCTTGACAAGGACGGAATGGCCTCTGGGCCTAAACACATATAAGGTTAAGGCACTCTCTCCGCCCATCGACGCCGCCTTCAACTCTACACCTCATTGCATCGACCTGTTTCCTGGGAAATAGCCTTCGATTTCTTCTCCCCAAGTGCATGTATCACCAACTCACTATCGACTGGACTCTATGCCATATTTCTTGCTTACGGACATTTCTTTTTCTGCCTATTGTCACTCTGCCGGAACGCACTTATGGATCCAACGTTCGAAAAGAGACTCAGCATCGATAGGGATAGGACTCTTCAGTCCAGGAGCCCTTCGAAAGGAGCCTGAAGGTTCATGGATGATACCATCTAAACAAACCTTTAGTACCACCAAAATTGAAAACCTTTAGTACCAGCACTACAAAGTACTACTACCACCACCACTCTTGAACAAAGCTCAGATCGCATACATTTACGAGTGTTAGAGAAAAAACTCAATCAGGATGATGGGGTTTTAATTTTTAAATTTAGTAGTTAAAAATGCTTCTTTGCGTACCACCGGTTGAGAACTCCTGATTTAGAGACAAGAATTTCATGATGAAGCTTTTCTTAGCAACTGGCTAACAAAGTTCTTCAACTCGGAACTACAATAATACACCACCCTTAAAACCACAGCTACAGAATCCCACAAACATAAAAAGTCTTATTTATTGTTGCGTATAACTGTCGCTGCGTGATTCTTATTTATTTATGAATTTCATACTGGAAAAACTTTTAATCCTATGTACCATGCACATTTCTTGAATCGCATCCTGTGTGAAATTCTGCCGGACAATTGGTGCTACTTTATAATTACTTTTTTCATTATCTTCCGTGAGAACGTTCATTGTCACGTGGTTGATATAGGTTGGGGCCTATGCTCGTAATGGATTGAGAAGTATTGAACGTTCATTGTCACATGGTTGATATAGGTTGGGGCATATGCTCGTAATGGATTGAGAAGTATTGAACGTTCATTGTCACATGGTTGATATAGGTTGGGGCCTATGCTCGTAATGGATTGAGAAGTATTGAACGTTCATTGTCACATGGTTGATATAGGTTGGGGCCTATGCTCGTAATGGATTGAGAAGTATTGTACCAGTCTTCATACTCTTTAAATCTTAGCCTCTATGAATTTGATTTATTTACATATTTTAAGGAACCTCTATAAAGCATTTTTTCCCATGAGTATCACAGGCCGACTAGGGGCCGAGCGGTAAAATCGCTCACCTCTGGTAGTTCGACTGGGCTCAATTCCAGGCTATCGGCCAGGCTTCATGGGCACTTTTGTGGTTTGTCCCATACCTTACGTGTCTGCGAGAAGTTTCTTTAAAATGTCTTCCATGAAGGCAACACCTCCTCTTAAGGAGATAGCTCTGTTTGCTTTGCCGTAATCAAATAAACCATACTAAATCATTATCCTATATAACTCAATATTATATGTGCGGACCATAGATATATAAGCGGACTACCGGTTTTCAGACATTAATGAGCGAACCTTATCTGAAGATCTCGGGTTGCTGACGGGTATTATGAAGCTACCAAAGAGACAGAAACGTCATATACAATGCCAGTGACTATACTGAATGAATGTAAATTTAAATATACAGAGAGCCCTTGCTGTGCTAACTTGTACAATTGTGATAATGTGTACATTGAAAAGCAGGTATTGATAATTGCCGAAATGGCTTAAATTTTCTGAACGAAAATTTTATTTTAAATCAAGTCATTTTAAGCGAGAAAGTGGGAGCCAGATAGCTAGGTGAACCTCCAAGCTTTTGCTGTTAAGTAAACACTTTATATTGCTTCACTTGCCGTCTGATAATATATATATTATAATATATATATCATCAGATTATATTATATTATTACAATATATATATATATTATCAGATTATATTATAATATATATATATATATATATATATATATATATTTATAAAATTTTATTATATTATTATAATATATATTATAACATATATATTATCAGATTATAATATATATATTATCTGATAATATATAATTAAAGAAAAGAGAACAAACTAAAAAAGGCCTTTGCGGTCAAAAACTTTGCACATTGAGCTGCAAAATTTAGAAAACAAGTTAAAAGAAAATTCTTAGTGCTTACGCTAAAAAGTAGCTCATATACTGTGGTTCCGATGACAATTTTAACATAAGTAAAATAAAGTGCAATGAAAACATTAAATAAACAATATTAACACAAGAATATTTTAAAAAAATTCAAAACTAATTGCAAGTAATATGCTGATCAAGGTAT